TCCAAGAACCTTATTCTTAGCTCCATCACCAAAAGTTACTGAACTAGATGAAACAGGCATAATATCAACCAAGTTGGATTTTATCCCTGTCATGTGACGAGAGCACCCACTATCAAAGTACCAGTCAGAATTAGAAGTGGATTTCAAGGCAATTATAGAAGACAGACAGACGTTCTTATTTACCTTTGGAACCCAGATCTTTTTCTGTTCAGAATTCACAATGTCAATTTTGAGTTTAGGTGCTTTCAAGGGAACACCCTGAGGACTCCAGTCATTAATTCGACCCGTATATATATCATTGTGCATTCTGTAGCACTTGGGACGAATGTGACCTCGAATCCCACAGTAGTGACAAACGGGTACAAAGTTCTTACCTGAATCTTTGTGTGATGCTTTTGGGGAGTTTGGCTTACCCTTTTTGGAATCAAGTGAGTACCCCTCTTTAACAAAAGTCAGACCTGTCTTCCTTAATGTGGTGTCTGATTCTCCGACCTTCCCCTTCAGTTTCTGATTATGGAGGTTCTTACTCGAGTCGGACGAACCAATCTGTTGACTTAGTCTTTGAACTTCTGCATATGAGGTCTTGGGTTTATTGATCATCTTGACGACTTCCTCGCTTTTGCCTAACTTCTCTTCCAGGGTAGAGCAATGACTTCTAAGTATCATGTGTTCCTCCATTAATTGCCCGAGTTCCTCCTTGAGTACGGCTATCTCAGTTTCTCTCTCACCTGCAACATTTTGCAAAGCAAACAACTCGTTACGTAAGTTTTCAATAATAAAATTCAGCTCGTCACTTGCCTGCTTGTTGAGTTTATCCCCATGTTCAACCAAGGCAAGTTTTGCAAAACAACTATTTAAGTCCTTATCCTGCTTTGCGGTATGGAGATCCGATTTAATGAGCTTCTCGTTCAAATCGACTGTCATCATTCTCATCTTTTGAAGCTCACTCCGAAGATAGTCAATCTCTTTCTCACGTTCGCTAGACCGTTGTTCCAAAGCCTTCATCTTCTGCTTTTGAGTATGGTACTTATTGATGATGTCTCTTGCCTTGAGACACTTTTCAATGGCGTACTTGTGAAGTACAAGATTCTCGGCAGCTGGGTCCGAAAATTCGTCAGAGTCCACTTCGCTCAAGTTTTTTGCGTAAGAACCTGCATCAGATTCAACATCAGTTAGATGAACAGAAGAGGTAAAGCAGTTATATTCATTAAGAAGACATTTAGCAGAGTTATTTGAGTAGATAGAATTCTCAGTTGTTTCTGATTCTTTGTCCTCATCGCCGCTGGAATCAGACCACGTAGCCTTGAATGTCTTGTTCTTCTTCTTGAAATTAGGACATTCTTTTTGAAAATGTCCAAAGCCCTTGCATTCACGGCATTGGTCCTTCTCTACACCTTGATTAGAGTTCTGGAACTTGTTCAGCTGTAAACCAGAACGCTTCTCTCCGAATTGCTGAATTTGGTTCCTGCCTCCATCAAACGATCTATTACCCTGAAACCTCTTCTTCTGAAATTTCTTAAGCTTCGAGACATTTTTAGAGAGTACAGTAAGTGCCTTGGTGATTTCATCAGGATCAAAAGATTCCTCATCAGATTCTTCATCTTCAGCTACTGAGGTGCGAACCTTGGCCTTTAGTGCTAAGCCTTTTCCTTTGCTTATTCTCATAGAATCAAAACCATGATTGATTTCAAATGTCCGAAGTTCGCTGAGAAGATCGTCAATGCCAAGTTTCTGAATCCTCTGAAAGCTCTCAAGTGCAGTGATCTTGATCCCAAACCTATCTGGCAGAGTTCTCATCAATTTCTGAACTTGCCTTGCCCCAGGAACCGGTTCACCAAGCATCGCACTTTGGTTAACCAGGTCGCAGAACCGAGCATAGTACATATCGATAGTTTCATCCTCCCTCATGCGGATTTCATCAAGTTCTGTAGAGACCCTTTGCAGTTTTGAGGTTTTTACAGCATTTGTACCCTCAAATTGTCTTTCCAAAATCCTCCAGGCTTCTTGAGCTGTGGTGCACTGAATGATTATCTTGTGACGAGTTGGATCTACTGCAGACATGATAGCATACAAAGCACGGAAGTTCGCTTCTTCCGCTTGTTTTTCATCGTCAGTCCAAAGACTCCTTGGTTTTTCAACAAAAACTTGAGTGGCAGACATAGACGACTTTGTATCCGAAGATTCACCTTGTTTAAATTCAGCAGGAGCTTTTGGCATAAGTGGTGTCGACCATCCTGATTCAACGGCCTGCCACGTGCCTTTACCAAGGGAACGAAGAAAAATTACCATCATGGATTTCCAATAAGCATAGTTTGCTCCATCAAGGAACGGAGGGCGCGAAACAGACATTCCATCGTGACTCATGGTGACCAACACACAGTCCCAAAGATCTTTATCCCGTAGTAAGAACAGGAACACTGCTCTGGTGCCAATTGAAACGTATAATTGTCACGGAGTGCGCGAGTATTAGTACGAACTACAATAAGAATTGTAAAATGCGGAAGCAAATAACCGAAGATTAATAAACTCTTCAGGGAAGCGTCCCACTTCCCCTCAGAGCTCTTTCATTGATAGATCACTCGTATACATAACATGGACTTACAAAGATTCGAACTCCCTTCAAATCTAGCCAACACTACTTGATCCTATCAACTAATCCTCCGGCCACGTCCCGTGGACTTATAAGCCTACACTTATTCCCTAAGTGTACAAACCGTAAAATAGTTTTGATGAAATGTATAAAGAACTAAACTAAAGCAGTACTAGTCCTTGAGTTTGTAAGAACTCTCAGACTGAACTGAATACAATCAAAATAGAACCGAAAGCAAGTGAAGCTTGAATGGCTTTCCAATATTTCTCAGTATTGAATCCACGGCCGCCATAAGCTTCTTCTAGGGTATATATATGATCTCCTTAGGGTTGGAGTCTTCTACAAGGCATAGGTCTTCATTCAAGATTTCCTTCCAAGATAATAGGATAACTATGGCAAGAAATCTTCTATTCTCTCTCATTGATCTCCTCTCCTAGCATGTCTCTTTTCTCCCTCCTCTTTATCTCTCCACGTGCAATTTCCTATCATATAAAAGCCGTAATAAGATCTTCGTGGATTTATACATGAAATATAAAATGATATTACTTAAGAAAAACATAATATACAAAGATCTTCCCTTTTATTCTGTGGTTCCAGGTGCTTGTTCGAACTAACGAACTAATGCCAAAATAAAATATCTTTCAACCGGTATCAGTCTTGCTCTTCTGGCCATTGTCCACCAACCATCAATTGATGTAGTAGAAAATTAGCCTATTATACACAATCTTATATGATTGAAATATTACGAGATGTTATTATCGACTGTGCATTTGCGTTGACGGGTGATTTAGAGCATGGATACAAAATTTCTCAAAAAAATCTAAATATTTTCAACTCAACCACTTTTTTTAACTCAACTTTAACTTAACTCCACTATCATCAATATTATCAATATAATTAAATAATATCAATCAATCATTTTTACACACCATTTTACCTTAATTCACTGTTCATCCACTTATATAATTTTAACTAACCATCACTTCAAATCTTCTCTCTCTTACTTTACATCAAATCAACTTTAATCATTTTATTTTAAATATTATTCTAATATACCCACTAACAACTAATCATACCAACTTTTTTAAAATTAACCAAACCAAACAAAAAAATCCAAACAAAACCAAATTTTTTTATATCCAATCATCCTCTTTAGCAATTCTAGCACTTGTGTTAGTGTTATACCACAAATACCTGAACCGTTCGACTGCCCCTCTCGAACTGGATTGCGTTTCCTTGATCGTTGGTACCTGCAAAACACGCCGGGGGTGGTCCCGGCGTGAACACTCCGACGCTCAAGTCAATGGTGGTGTTTCGGAGAGAAAGCGACAGAGTAACGAGATAATATGTGTATGTGTGTTGTGTAAAATGAATAAACCTGTCCCCTTTTATAGATGAAGTCTTGTACATGTCGTAGAGTTCTTGTTGGTCTAGAAGTCTTTTCCTCATACTTATCCACAAATTAGGTCAAAGATGCCCAGAACGTCAGAGTCCTTATCACTACAAACTTTCACGCGACTTGTTCACGAAGCCATCACCAGACTCTGGTCGCCTCGGCAGAACCCTCTGGCCGAGCTGCCCACGTGCTGAGGCGTCCAGCTGCCTAAGTACCGAGGTGTCCAGCTGCCTAAGTGATCCCACCTGCCTAGCACGTGACTCCTTGGTATGCCGCCTAGCCAGTCTTCCCATCATAACGATGACGACCGAACCAGACCGGTCTGAGGCGAACCCCTACTAATGGCCATATCAGTTAGCAGAGTAGAATTGGTGTTAATCACCTTATCTAATTAGGTTATCATAGTTGTCCAATTAGTATACCTACCTTTACCCCATAGTTGAAAAATAAAAACTATACAAAATGACTATTGTATTTATTAAAAAAAAAGTAAGATTCTCATGAAATAATTTGCATTTCGTAAAAAAATTATGATTTACTTTAACTTAAAAAATTTCTGTTTGTCAAACAATTATTGGGACCATATATGGCAAAATTCACATTATTGTGGAAGGTTTTAAATCTGAATTTTTTTATTTAAGTGGGCAACTTAAATAATGCCATAATTAAGATGTGTAAATGAGCTTAAGTTGGAGTCATTAGCTAGAAGGTTATCATAGTTAAGAGGTAACTAAACGGCCAATCATAGACATAGTTAAGAGGTGAAATATAATGTAAAATCCCGACGGTCTGTAGCGGTAAAAATATAATGCAAAGTTTATTTGTTCCGAATCTTTTTCCAAAATTGTTAAAACAATTCCACGTGAAACCAGCAACATCGTTGAAGATGACGTGACGTCATACTGTTCCCACCTCCACTGACCTGCTCTGCCTTCTTCTACCTTGTGCAATTTTCATAATCAATAGAATATGTATTGTACCTTATTATTTCACACACATCGGAGATATTAACAAATGGCCGCAAGTACAGTTACAGCTAACGGGAGGAGTGACGTCATATCAGACGCCGAAGCTCCATTGCTAAACGACGTCGTCCGAGCTCCGTCGACTTCCGCGGCCGGCCCGCCGTCCGATCAAAATCCGGCTGCTGGAAGTCCTCTTCTTTCATCATAGGTACCGCCGTAGCTGTTGACAATCGGATTCATTGTATGTACTATTTCCTTTGAGCAAGATAGATCTCTCTTTTTTGGGAGTTTTATGGTTTATGCAATTTTATTAGGTGTTGAGATGGCCGAGAGATTTGCTTACTACGGCATAAGTGCGAATCTGGTGAGCTACTTGACCGGCCCGTTAGGCCAATCTACTGCCAGGGCGGCGGCGAACGTGAACGCGTGGTCCGGCACGGCGTTTCTATCTCCGCTGCTCGGCGCTTTCATTGCCGATTCTTATTTGGGAAAATATCGGACGATCGTCTTTGCATCTCTGCTTTACATCCTTGTCAGTTCAAAATCTCTTAAGTTCTTAATAATGCCTCTTTTGATTGATATGTATTTGGAATAGAGTCATTAGAGATGGGAATTTGATGTTCTTTATCGTAAATTCTAAATTTGTTTGCAATGTCATTGATTTTCACTGTAGAATGGTACCGAAATGGAGCCTGATTTGACGAACGAATCGGAAGGTATATCGGCCATCTCACATGACACTTACATAGGACCGTTTCACTATAGTTTTTGTGTTCTATTATGTTTTTTCTGATGCTGGTGAATGTGAGATGGTCTCTCAGTATTCTGTGATTCTATCATGATTTAATTCTGGTGAATGAATCATATATGATATATGTGCTATAATTAGTCTAGTTTGTTGTAGAAAAGCGCTCTAAGAACATGTTGGAGCGAATGGATCAGTTTAAAAAGTAGCGCCTAAGAGTTTAGGTTAAAAGGCAATGTGGAAAGTACTAATGAAACTGAAACTCTTGTTCTAGATTATGATTTACCAGTTCTGCTGAAATGATGATCACCATGCAATTTCAGGGACTCGGTTTCTTGTCTCTATCAGCCGCTCTTCAACACTCAGACAAAACACATTCTCCCCCTCAGCTTCAGATAATCTTCTTCTTCTCTTCATTGTACCTGGTCGCATTAGCCCAAGGTGGGCACAAGCCCTGCCTGCAAGCTTTCGGGGCCGAACAATTTGACGACAGTGATCAGGACGAGTGCAAAGCCAAGAGCTCGTTTTTCAACTGGTGGAATTTTTGCCTGTGTGCCAGTGTACTCGTGGGCCTCCTAGTCTTGAGCTACATTCAGGACAACATGAGTTGGGAGCTCGGGTTTGGGATTCCATGCATCGTCATGTGCCTCGCGCTTATCGTGTTCGTTCTTGGTTCATTTACCTATCGTTTTCAACTCTTCAGTGGTCAGAGGAACCCGTTTTTTAGAATTGGTCGTGTTTTTTTCGAGCTGGCTAGAAATTGGAGGGTGAGGAACAACAATGCAGTTCTATCTGTCGAGGTGGATTCTCGTTATGAGTAAGTCGATCTCTCGTGCTATCTATTGAGGATCGATAATTATTAGGTGAAATGCAGAAACTACATCCGGGATTCATGGTAATTGCAGAAAAAACCCAGAGTTTTTGAAAATAAGAAAAAGAACCCTTCGTGTTTGATTAT